TGGGGATTTGCCTCAATGGGCGGGAAAGGTGGATTGGGATTATGTTTGTTAAGGGCCAACATGATGGCCGAATGGCCACAAATGCTGAATTTTTAATACACACCCCTCAATCCGCTTTCGGATGGATACAGAGCACTGTGACGAGGAGTCTGTTTTAGTGTGTGAATTCTACTTTCGGCTTCCCATCCACAAATTTTACTACTTGTGCCGTGCAGGTGAGGCTCAAGAGAAGATTTATCGTGTGACAGTGTATTGAAAATGTATTACATTATTCCCCTCAGTGCCTCTTTACATCATATCAAAAGTCTGGCTCAAGTATCGATTTTATTCCTCCCGCCTTGGCGTTTTTATGGGAATCCCTGAGCCTGGCTGATTGGATGGGAGTGGGACTGTGTGAGGTTTATTGTGGGAGACAGAGCATTAGTGTAGTTGAATGAAAGACCTGAATATAAATTATAAAGTCGCCCATGTGATGGGCAAATTGTGAGGATGAAAAGGCCTTCTTTCCCATGCGATCTCCTCATAATGGGTTTGCTTTGAAAAGTTTCCACCTCCTCTCGACCCTGCTTGCTCCTGTGTGCGAAAAGTACCTCCGGAGATATTGAATATGAAGAGTCGTAGCCGGCTTCTCATGTTACCCTCAGACCTATTCGACGCGCTCCGAATTAGTTCACTCTAGAAAATTGGTTCCAATTTTCAAATCATCTCGAGAATACACACACACACACATACCTATACGTGTTCTATGAACAATTTTAATTGATAGCAACAGAAGTTGAGTGATGCATTCATGCCCTGAAGAAGTTTTCTCTCCATGGATGCAATGCTGCTCTGCAGAAGCGTTTCGAGATTCTCGTGAAAATAATATATTTGAGCTGCCAATGGACTACAGATGCTGCCACGGGTGTTTGGGACTCAAACAGCCATGCGATGGGAAAGTTGAAAGTGAGGCAATGGCAATTTGTTCACTATTTATACCTCTCACATGCATTTCTGAGAGCAGAACCAATGGTGAGAAATAATGGCAGAGCGATAGAATTACACTCTTTTATCGTCAATGCTCATTTGATCCCTCTCGAATGTCCAGGTAAATCCCTCCATTTGATCCTGCACACAGTCAAGAGACGGATTTTTTCTCCGCTTCCTCTTTGTGCACGATTGCCAGACGAGCATTCCTCGAGTGAGAGACTTCAGCTCAGCGCATTCGTAAATGATTATTTAAGAATCTGTCATGTGATATTTGTCCACTGGCCAAATGATGTCAATAGAGATGAACTAAAGTGAGTCAAGAGGGGCTGGTAATTTTGCTCTCGATGGCCTCATCCCTAATCAACTCCTTATTTTCATATTCAATCGCTCGCCAGATGTCACGACAGGAATTATTATTGCCTTCGGACGAGGACTCGAATGTTGGTGCAGGTCAGTTTTTCCCATTCACTCTCTTCCTTCCTCTAGAGATTTGAGAGTCTTTTTGTGAGACTGGAAGTGCTTCAATTCTTCTGCACATCGCCAAGTGTATTTGTTGCTCAGTCACATTCAGTCCAAGTCATATCCTGTTGAGGATTTCGTGCCTCTCCTCAATTCTTTTTCTGTTGCCCCGCATTTGAATGGCTTACCGCGTGTGTGGTGCACATTCTCTTCCCAATAAATCATTGGCAATTCCAATTGAAAATCGCCACCCTAATGCGAACCTCTTGGATGATTTCCGCACTGAATGGCACAATAATGTGATTTGGTACCACCCGTAAACTGCAGATGAAACGACACAACAATGAATGTCGTAATTGCCTCTGGGCGATCTTCCATGGGAATCGCACATGGATTGAGCTTAGGTAATATTGGATGTGTGATGTATTTTCAATTGGCACAATGCACAGCAGACGAAATTTTGCGGCCGGCAACTCCAGAACCGATCAGAATTTCAAGTTTTGCGCAATGGACAAAATTTACTGAATAGCTACATATATAGCTTCTGTCTTTTTCCCGAATCAATTCATGAAAACGCTCTGGAGAAATATATTGCAGACATTTTGCTAATGTTCCGGTGTTTTAGGGGTTGAGAAACTTTTATAAAATAAGACATAAAAGCGTGGTCTTGTAATTGCTTTATGTCATAAATTGCACCCATTTTGCCTTAATCCATTGTACATTGCAATATTTCATGTGCTTCAATAGAACATTTTCCGCTATATTGCTCCGTAATTAATGTTAAATTGCTCCTTTCGCGCCACAATTTGAAGAATTCCCATGGAAGGAGCCCTATATACGTTTGTGCGATGGAAGTTTGGTTGTATGTGGGAAAAGTCTCGTCATATATTCCAGAGACCCTCCGCTGTCCCGCTGAAAAGTTAATTGTTTCCTGCAATATTGGAGGGAAATGAAAAATTCCATGGTGTGCAGTTTCATTGCATGTGTGCCTCTCTTTGACCTGAAATTTGTCCAACGATGCAATTTCCCTTGAATTGATATCGGCCAAAGAGAGGGATTTCTTCTCCGCTGGGAAATTACATTGGCACCCCACCCGGAGTGCAGATTAAAATGAGATACCGAAGTGGTGTGAATTTGACTGTTGAGACCAATTTCGGCAGTCAAAATTTCGCATTGGCCTCGCGGGACTGGGAAAATTGTTTATCAAAATACAATTAAAGTGTCCACCTCGATGCCCCGTGTGCATGCATATTAATTCCTCTCATGGCTCCCAAGGGACAAATTCACAAATACAGCCCTTTCAATGGTGTGCAATGACAGTGCAGAAGTGACGCGGCATCTTGCTGGGCCACGTGGAGGCGAGCGAATGGCAAAGCCGATGACTTGCACTATATAAATTGCATTTTTGCAATTTTCCTCCCTCGCTTGTTTGTGCAGCAGTCAAAGAGTGAAATATGGGTGGTGGAGTTTCCACTTGAGCGCTCTCAATTGATTCCCTCGCCCGATGCCTTTGAGTGAATGCTACGGAAATTTTCACCACTTTAGCCACTCCAGGTTTCTCCATAATATGGAGGATTCTCTCCCCTGTAGCGGATGCATCCCCAGCTCTAACAAGCCACTCCATCTGAGTGGCACTGCTGCAGGAAGTGCAGAGAGCAGTTCGCGGGCCCGTATTGATTAGTTCCGACAACAGGTGCGCACACATTTCCGTCGAATTTTAAAATCAATTCGCTGCCACGCTAATAAATTGCCATAAGTGGATATAAGGGTGCTTCGTGAGATACGCCACGGGAGAATTAGACAGTGTATAGATGAATTTACCTCCTTTATGCACGGAAATACTCTTACAACTCTTTAGTCAAATTAAGTGGCAGACTATTGAGAGCGCTTTAAAGCAAGAGCAGCGCTCGTTTCAGCCAGAGTTGATGAATGACAACCACAATGAGATGAGAGTGATTTCTTACCTTCTCCTTGGAACGTTAAGAACAATAAAAGAAACACAGAAAATGAGAAGTTGTGTCAGTTGTACTGTTATCACCCTCGACGAAAGACTATGGCACTCTCACAGCTGGGTAAATTCCTTAACTTTCAAATGGTGGGAATGTGTGAGTGTGATTGGCGGGAAAAATCCGGAAAATGGCACCATTCAGCTGTCAAATAAAAATAAAGAATGGAAGTCATTGAAGCAGCACGACATCAACGAAACACTAACAATAATGGCGTGATTTATTGCCCACGAGAATCGTCTCCGGTCGCCTATTTTCCATTTTCCCGCCTCTCCGGCCTTTCCTTGTTGGCGCCTCCGTGGGACTCGTGTGTGTACAATGGCGCAAAATCAACAAACACAGCAGATTTTTCACCAGTCCGGAAAACGGATTGATTTCTCACTGGACAAAAGGCATACTTTTCCCAAATCTCGGCCCCGTTTTCTATTACAAAGTCAAACTTTTTCCCTCCCAAGCCACCCATTTTCGCTGCACAGTCGTGTCCATGGAGGGCCATTTGGGCTGAGGACGGAGGAAAGATATTGTGTAGTCAAATAGTTGGTAAGGGAGTTGATTGAGAGTATTCCGGGAATAATGCATATATCGTTCTTCTTCTGTGAAATCCGATACCTTCGTGAGTGAGTGTAGAATATCGGTTCCGGGCAATCGTTTTTTCTTGCATTTCTTTACATGCTGTTGGAGAAAGAAGGAATCCAATAATGCATGCATTAAATATGATATCAATTTCAATTCCATAATTGCTTTTCGACCAGCAACTTCAAAGATTTACCTCCGTGAATTGTGTCAGGTGGTCTCTTTTAATTGTAATTCCACCGGCGCTGCGAATAATGTGACTCAAATGGCCAACATTTCTTAGTCACTTTCAATCTCATTCTCCTCATTTCCTGCTTGCCACCCGCTGACTCAGCGTGGAATTAATAATGCCGCCGGTAGACAACAGCGAGTGCAAGGCATAAAAGAGGCCGTCTTGCCTGTCAAATTGAATTGAGTCACATGGCGGCTGACCGACCATCTGTTGGTACTCACGCCGCTTCCGGGGCCCCCCACAACACCTTCGCCCTGTTCCCGGCATTTTCTAATGAGGCAGACACTTACTTTTTGCCCTGCATGGCCCTCAGTTGCTCGATGAGTGACCCTTGTGGCACATTTAGGGCTTCCATCCTGGAATCTCGCCCACCAGGTGACTTTATCCAGTGACTCGTGTAAAAAGTCCACATGAACAATTGATTTTCTGTCCCACTCTCGGTGTGTCATCTGGTGAAATCATGACAACACTGCAGATCGGATTGATTCCGCGTGAAATATCAGTGGATGAATTCACGTGATTTGCAAGAGTCACTGTGTATTTAATTGGCACAATCCACCGTAAAACATATGCTCAATTTCAACGAAACTGTCCATAATTCATTCTGACACTATGGGAGATAGATTGGCGTCACAGATACAGTGAATATGGGTGAAAATTTGGGCACGAAGGTGGTTTTGCGGATGAAATACACTGTGTTTACACATTTGGTATCGCGGTGACAAGAATAATAATAGTTTTATGTCTAATTTCCTCCACAGATTACGGACATTAAATTTATTTGGCATCCCCAGCAATTGGATTCGCAGCCCACACAGTGTTGTGCAAATCTTGCAGGTAAAATTAAATATTAGTCACTCCCTCCATGTGCAATTTTTTCCCTTTTCGACGAACTCCACGCAGTGTTTTTTTACTGTCATTCTGAGGGGTTGTTTTTCCTCCTATTTCGCATGCACGCAGAAGAATTGGGAAAGAATTGCGAGGGTGTTTAAAATGAATACGGAGAAAAAATCATGGCAGAATTACAAAATCGCTCAGCTTTTTTTTTATCATAGAAAGGGATACTGTTGAAACTTGATTAATGCGAATAAAATGTATAATGTCGGTGCACAAGAAACATACCCATTCTCTGGGTGTGAAAAGCGCCAGTGAGAGAGAGAGAGAGAGCGTGAAAGTGAAGAGGAAATTCTTTTGAAAGAAACTTCTCTAGGGTGTATTTTTCCTTGAATCCCTCACTCGTGGCAAATGGGAAAATGATAGAGCTCAAAAACACAATCTTCGTGTAATTCCTCAACTTCTTTTCACAGTTTCTCTTGCATTTTTTCCGTGTTGAAGCGTTTCACCTCCTCGAGCATCTTCTCAGATCTTCTTTCCGCACTCTTTTTTCCACATTCACTATTAAAATGGATTACAATTTAATAACAAGATTGAAGTCTATACATAACTCGTTTGTGGAGGAGAACTGCGAAGACGTCTTCTCTCGCAGCAACTTTATTTTGTTTTGCCTACACAGGAAAAAAATCCCCCAAACGTCGTGTGTGGATTTATATAAATTAAAAAAGTTTCCGCATAGCTTACTTGAGTTGTGCAATGCAAACTATGTCTGAAAGTTCTGGTGATTTAATGATTTATCATTTGATTTGAAAAGAAATGATTGAATTTGTAGAATGCAACTGTAAATATGCTTTTATACTAATTGGAAATATAATACCGTGGTTTTTGGTGTGGGAATGACAGAGCTTTTTTGCCATTCCGCATCCTGTTGGAAAACACACACGATAAGAGATGAATGTCGCTTGACCTCATTGTTCCAAACCAACACGAGATTTGTCAATGGGAGCTTTTATCACGTGCTTTTTTTATCTATTTTGTTCAATACTCAATTATACCGTCCATTTGTTGGTGTTGCGCTATTCCGGAATTCGTGCTTTTGTGCAATTTCAAAGTATATACACATAATGCGAGGGTAAAAGCCGGTTTCACGCATTTCCAAACAAATTTTCATAATATCTCAAATTGCATTTCAACTTCCAATGCATTTGTTTGCACTATTTAATTTGTATCATTGCAAGAATAATGACGAAAATGATGTAAAACCATGCGTGAGATTTAATTTCAATTTCTAGGAAAGTTTGAGTTGAAAGTATGCATGATTGTGATAATAAACCTCTGGATAATCAGATAGAAAGTATAGAGTTAATTGGGCAAAGCCAATCGATAGTCCAATTGAGAAAAGAGTTTCGCCACTTTTCGCCTCCCACATTAATTTCTCCATTGTAGCAATTACGGCCCCAATGCTGTGGAAGTGCATATGAGGAAGACGGAAGAAGGGCATCAATCGAATGGGAATGCCGACAAACAAGAGGAGGAAACCCCGTGATTATCTCGAGCAAATTTATATGCCATTGTAACAACCACTTAAACTAATCTTGGAAACAATTCGGAGCGACTGGGGGATGTTTAGATGGCAACATCATATAAAGTGAATAATAATTCTAGCTTAACTGTGCCAGCAGTAATCCCATAATCTCGCTAATATTCTATTCTTTCATCCCCAAAATTTCTCTCTTTCTCTCACCCACTCTGGGCCCTTTATATGCACAGTCCTTGTGGCCGCTGGAGGATAAATGAGCCACATCACACACTCAGAGAGTGGTTGAAAAAAAGTGGAGGCCTGCCGGGATAAAGGCGCACGGGAGGAAGATATACGCATTTCCTGGCACATCGCCGGGACTGAAAAGAGTAATGCCGTGCGGCTCCTGTGGCGCTGGCAATGGTGCCATGAAAAATGAAATCAATTTAAGTGGAAGCGCCCCATCTTCTCGGCGTGGGTGAGAAAAAATGGCTCACGGGTCACCCGTGTGACTTCTAAATCATCACCATATTCAAAATATTGTCAGATTTAACAACTTCCTGTGGTATTTGCGAGAGCACATTCAGACAGGCTGGCACTCGCAGTTGTGTTTTCAATTTAGGGTGGGAGCTTCGGGGCGGACAAGTTCCGCAAATGACAGCAATTCGCTGCACAGTGAAAAAAAAAACAATTTAGGTTGTGCAGAGATTTCGCGGGATAAAATGCATAATCCCCTAATAATGTTGGGTGTTTTCGATTCAGGATCGTGTCAGTTGCCATCCCCTCAACACGTTATTCCTGGGCTTTTTACTACTATGCATGGAGAGGTGTAGAGAACGCGCGAGCACCAACCATTGAAGCGGAAGCTCGCACACACAGAAATCATTGGGAGAAGAGACCCCCAGGATGATGATTTATGCATTTTATATTCAAATTTTCATGACCTAAATATTCTCCACGGGCGAACAGATTTCCACGATAAAATACAATTTTCTGATAATCTTTTTTGGCATATTTCCCTACAAGCAGCGGTAAAGAGCGAGAGGCACGCCTCATTCCACCCACACACAGCGCACCCTTTCCTCTCCTTCCGCCGACCTGTGTTTTATGGACATGCCTCGATAAATAATCAATTTACCACCCACCGCGCTGGGGCTGGGCGGCAATCCACGAGGGCGAGAGGATAAAGTCTGGGTGGATAAAAATTAGTTCACAGAGCGATTGCAGCCACTCGTTGATCCCGCTTTGTTGTCTAATGTTGGGGTGGATTAAAAAAAATGGGAGAAAAATTAATCATAATCGATTTCGCTATGTGATGGAGCTACAACAAAGACTGCGGAAATTTCTTTTGTATGTACGTCGAATGGAAAATTATCGAGGCCTCGAAGCTAATAAATATGACGGGGAGAGAGAAAGTGGGTGGCTGAATTTCCCGAATTCCCCGAAAGAAGCGTATCGGGAGTGACATTACTCTGCTCGTGGGATGATTGCTGGGGAAATCTCGTTGGAAAAATACACAATTCGCGAGGAATTTAACGAGATCTCGCGGCGAAAAGGGGAACAGGCACGGAAGTTGTCGGGGATGGAGTTACTGGGCGTCTCAGGTATGTTTTGATTCAATCATATCGAGTAATGTTTTTCTCGAGATGGTGGAAAAATAGGACAACAAGAGGCGATTTAGTCGCTATTGCTTGTCTCGATGGTGGAAAGATCATTTTCACTGGCGCGCCGCTGGAGTGCTTTGCGTGAAGCACACTTTGTGGATGAGACGGAAATGAAACATCGGAGAATCCATGGGTTGGAGGGAATATTTTACTGTCGCCGTCAAAATCTATCTGAGGCAGAGAGGAACACACTATTCAAATCAAGACTCAATTTTCTCGAAAATCCACCATCGGGATTGTGACAAGCCCAATTACCAGTTCATTGTTACATGTTGAGTTGGCAATGGTGGGAGTGACACATCAAGTTGCTACTGGGTCGCCCCTTTCCACCTGATTTGGCGTGTTCCCTGAGCCACAGATAGAACATTGTGAATCGATTTCTATACACGTGAAACCGATGGAATGGGTTATAAAATATGTGCATGTCTGCATGTCAATCAATAGTGATGTTGCAGAGGAAACTTGGAATCTGTTCAGTGCACGCGCCGCAGCAAGAGCAATGGCAACGCGTCAGACCTGCAATAATACAATTAATCTCAGCATCGCAATCCAGACCAATTTTGCTTTGGGCTCTTCTGACAGGGAATGACTTGACATTTTGGCGAAGGTACAAAAGCATCCATAATTCTATTTTAAATTCCCCAGTTAATGCACAGAACTTTAAGAGGATTTTTGGAGCAAAGCATAAAATCCGCAAATATCACACTTCTTTCCTATCACTGTTCAATTGATACGTTGCGTCTCGTGCGATCGTTTCTCTACTTTGTGCACTGCATTTCAATGCAGCCACAATGGCATATGGAATAGAAGCACACCGGAAGGCCATGCTCATTGAGCAGATGCTATGTGTTCTTTGACGACTTGACAGAGCAAAGTTTCCTGCATGCACCAGCATTTTCAAGCCACAACTCTTGCCGGTCCCAATTCGAGATCAGAAACATCGTGTCAGACATTTTCTGTGGAAAGAGTTTTCAACAGCCTCTGAGAATTGATTGAAAATAAACACAGTTGATGGGAGAGGGAATTGATATGTAATCCGGGATTAGCGAGATTATTATCGCCTTACTGCTTAATTATTTTCCCGAGTTGTTGTTGAAGGAGTGTTAAATGGAGTTTACGGATGAGCTTCACGGGGAAGTTTGCTTAAGCGGAACGTTTTTTCACAACAATGTTTTTTAAGTTTGAAAATAAATACAGTTTTTTATGCTGCTGCTTTCCTTCCAACACCCAGCATCTGTTTGATGGTGCGCACCATGCAAACTAAAGGCAGAATTTTCAATTTTCTGAAATATATTTGAAAGCATGTTGACAGAGAGTGGAATATTTGAGGAAAACTATTGACATTGAAAGTGAATTGAGTGAATATTTTGCCACTTTGTGAACACCCAATTTGCCATTCTCAAAGCTCATTTCCGTGATGATTTCTGCAGAGAAATGCTTATAATGGATATTTCTATGTTGAAATGGCTATTTTATATACCCTTCAATTTTGACTTCAATTTGCAACTAATGCCGAGGAAATTTTTATGTTTCACTTCCGTTTCATGTGACACAAATCAATCGTTTCAATTTAACAGCACATTACATGGAAAATGTTTCGTAATATGTAGCAAAGCAAATCAATATTCTATGTACTTGTGGCCCCCTTACACATTCCACTCAATACATAATTTATATTAAAGTTGTCTCAATGGTAACAAAGTGGTGGAGTTGGGGAGGGATTTCTAAGAGTTATTAATACTGTTGAATGACGAGGCGAATGTTGGGGATCACGTAGCAATAATGGGTAACATAGTGAGTAACAAGATGATTTCAGTTTC